AATGCCGATGAGTGTCTCGGCGGCAATGAGCGTTCCTATATTCTGCGCGGCGACCGCGGCGATGGAGCCGATGACAACTGTGACTTGGCCACCAATGACCAACATTCTCCGGCCGAAAACATCGCTGAGAGGTCCCGCGAGGGAGAAGGAGCATGCTGTCGAAAGAGACCATGCTCCTACAAGCCAAGCCAACTGGTCCTGCCCACCGAGCTCTGTAGCAATCTGCACGACGACGGCGGCAACCGTGAGGAACGCAAGTCCGACACATGGACCGAAGGATAGAGCCATAGACTATGTATGTCAGCCAAGATTCGCCAGAGAAGCTGCAGAGACGCATTGGTCTTACAAAAATTGCAATCCATGTTTTGATGCCAACTTTTGCTTCGGACGGGTTATCCTCAAGTGCTGCGCGGTGAGGATCCTCTTCAAACTCGATGACAGCTTTGGCCTCTTGGGCCATCCGTATCTTCATCTCTCGGTCTCGGCCCATGTTGGATGATTCGTTATATGACATTTTGAAGTTGGGCAAAGGGACTGAACTCTTGAAGATAATGAGAAAAACCGGCTTGCTTCTGTTCAATAGTAGTTCAGAAGCGTGTCGGTTGGAATATTAAAGGTTCATCTCGAAGAAGCCGCGACATGGCACGGGCTATTCATATACAGATTTGGATTCAGAGTATCCGAGCTTTGGTCCGAGCGGGGGAACACTTCAGAAGCTTAACAACAAGCAGCAATGCTGATTGAACTTTTGAAGAGACGTCGCCGTGTGATTGGAGTAACGTCGAGTGTGCCATCAAGAAGGGTACGGGACCGGGGTTGATCCCCTTATTTCGATGCAACCTGGGGGGGTTAAGCTGTTATTGATTAGCGCGACGACGTCGATGTGGGAGGGGAGGGGTCGGCAGATACGACTACTGCAAAACCTCGACTGTTACATGAAAACCTTCTTACAATAAAGTTTCTTGTCGGGGACGGCAGCCGCTCTAGTTGATTGATAGTTTCACTGGGTTTCTTGGTTCGGCTGGAATTGGGATCGCATGGCCTGTATGGTGTTCCATTGGACGATGTTGCGTTGACAGTTGTCCGCTTTTGATCAAATTCACCATGAAAGTTGGATAGAATTCGACTTCTATGGGCTGTGTCATCCCGTCTCTCCCGAGGTGCAGATTGCGTATTTGCCAGATGAGTGATTAGTTTTCGCTGTCTACATCGTATCGCTGATGTAAGAGGGGAAGTTCTATCAACCACAGACAAGAAAGGTCGCTTCTGTTGACTGATTCAGTCTTTCATATGCCAACGGCAACCTGATTTATGCGAATGTGCTAGGAATTCTTGGAGACAATCTTGTACAGTCTTCTAACATAATCTTTCGGCAAGGATTTGGCGTAGACCCAGCTGACTGCCGTTGCTGTAAGAAAGTGGACACCTTGGCTCAAAGAAATCTTACTGGGACCAGCCTTGCTGATACTCCAACTAGTTTGGCTGTGCAACTAGTATCGGTCGCCAGTACGTTTCAATGAGAATGCGATCTCTGCTTCAAGACTGCCGGGTGCTAAGAAGGCCAAGTCGGTGGAGCTAGAGGTTTGCCAGAAATTGACTTCCCTTGCTAACAACGCATTGAGCAGCTTCATATATTCCAAAACTCTCGCTCTATCGCTGTATGACACATTTTTGCCGACAAGAAAAAAGGCGCCGGTGGTCCTCGGCAGATCTGTCTCTATTTGGCCTATCTGACCACCTCCTTGGCAAACTTGTTGACTGCAAGCACCATGAGCTCGCGTTGTCAGAGATCAAAATGAATGTAGTAACAGAAGCAGTGGTGCAATTACCTTTCCGTAGATACCAATAATGTTATCAGCTGCAGTACTATGGGTACTTGTTGTCGCAGGGGTGGCTGTCCGATTAGGAAGTGTCAGGTGTCCCAGCACATCAGAGCAGCTTCCAGTTTTGTGGGAGTCTACACGTGTTCTACTGAAGCTTAATTTTCTATAGACACAAAGAAACTGGTCAAATCATATCAAATAGCATTCGTCTCAATGCATGCCTTTGGAGTGTGACAAAGGAATCTTGCACTCGAGTACGACTACAGGATATTGATAGAGAAGATGACGGAGAAGATATGGCATGTAGCTATTTGCCTGTGACGGTCTTGAGCCAGACCGGAAAATATAAGACATCATCATATTCTACAAGATCATCAATCAAAGCACCTAGCGATGGTGATGGTGACAAACAAAGGGGAATACAGCTTGTATTGCGCATTCTCCCAAAAATGCATTACGACTATGCAACGTTAATATTATCGGGCAGGCAGTATGGTAGGGCTGTAAGACGGTCATTATTATGGCAAGAGACGGAAGCTGAGGAAGCGACTCCTCGATGGCCAGGAGGAGGTACTTAATTGCAAAAGGGAGCGAGAATTTCAACATTGGCCTCAGTTTTCGACGGGATGCTTTGAGGTACGCCGGGAGCAGATCCAGCGCTGAGTGCGGCGAGGGTGAGTTAATTCCAGCCAAGCCTTTCTTTTTTGTGATATTAACATGTTCACTCCAAAAGATACTTGTCCATTTACTTTTGTTTGGCTGACTGAGGGTGTACCTCCCAGTGAACCTTTGTTCGGCATCCGGTGATTCACGGCGGTGAAGCAAATTCCATCCGGTCTCCCGGCCCCACTGCACGATCTCGCCCCGCCGACCGGCCAGGTACCTCGCGCCTTCCTGGTCAGGTGACAGGGCATTTAGTCAAGTGGTAAAGCTGAGCATTGAAGGATTGAATGTTGATTCATATTATTGTAGGGGTCTGGGGTTCGAGACTACTTCTCGTAGAGCCTTTTTTCTTTTGAGCTATTAAGTTACTCTAGCCCGGGTCTTCGACTTGCCTCCAAGCCCGGCCCCGAATAGACACGCCGATTATGTAACGGCCACTTCTACTCATTGAAGTCAACGTAACTCCTCTGCTTCTTCTTGCCAGAAGATCTTGGTGGTATAGATACAGCTGCCAATGCCTTCGGTGGACCCTGGAGAACAGGAGGGCATGCCAACCTCTTCTTCCCTTCCAGTTCAACCGCCTCGATGAAGGTCATAGCCAATGCGTCGTCCTTCAAGATCTTTGATGAGGTTGCCAGATACACCTGCTTGAATTTGTGCCACAGCTTTGCCTCAATAGTGTGCGAGTCTTCCTCCACTGTTGGCCTGGGATAATACGGATCATTGTCCCAGAACCCTCTGACTGCTTTTCCTACTCCTTTGTTGTCCATTGTGATTTCTCCAACCTGATTGAAGTCTAGAAGCCATATATTCACAGCCTTTTGCTGAGATTCAGATCCTTCGCTTGGTTCCCGGGTGGTCTTGACTGATGCCCATTCCGCAGTTCGAGTTCTTGGTTTTGGCGATGAGGCGAGGACGAACTCAACGTCGAACGCATCGTGCTTGGTTTCCCAGTGCATGACTGCCAATGCTTCTGCCATGGGTGCCACATATTGAAGTGGATCGATGTTGAGAATCTCCATCTTGTCCAAGGTCATTTCGAAGTTACGCAGCTCGAATCCTCCCTCGACTCTGGTGTTTTGTCGACGCCGGCCCAGGTACAATCGAGCAAGGCAGTTGTTGTTTCTTCGAATAACACGAGCTGCTACTCTCTGCTCCTCAGGACAGAAAACTTCGATGAGGGCTCTGCGAACCTCCATAGGTAGTGCTGGGATTCTCTCAGATATGAGGACTGCCATGTTCCTGCTGATGAGGGTTCGATCATCTGGCAGCTTGCCCGACTCCCTGTGTTCATTATACCACTGGCCAAGCTGTTCAGGTCTGACGAATTCAGCTGGACGGGGGATGGAGACTTGTACGCCCATGTGGAGGCCGGCGGCATAGACTTTCTGATGCGCGACATAGTCGACCAGTAATTCTGGATACTTTCTCAGCTCTTTTGCCTGTTTGATGACTTGACCTGTGCTCCCAAAATCATATATGGTAGCGCAGAATCCTTCGCCAATGTGTTCAAGTTCTGCGGTTCGCCGCTCAGTAACCTGGCCTTCTTGCAGTCTCAGAAGTGAATCGGAATCAAGTTGTGTTGAAAGTGACAGGTATGAAGACAACATCTCAACTGCTTCTTGACTTTTGGTGTGACTAATAGTCGCATGTGTCCGTTCATCTTTGCTCTTTGTCGGGCTATCCATGATGGAGTGGTGGATTCGATCAAAGTCAACTGAGAACAGCGGTAGCTAATTTTCGAGGTTGTGAGGTAGAATAATTAATGGAGCTGATGGGCCTGACCTGCCAAATGGTTTTTTTTTTTTTGAGAAGGAAGCACTTATTTATATACGTATGTTTGTAAAGAATCGGAGATAGAAATACGTAGCATTAAAGACGTGGCGTTAGCAGTCCTGAGGCAGCTTCGAACCTTGTCTGCAAAGCCCTACATCAAGGTTCTCAAGCAAATGTTCCAGGTATCCTTAGCTAGTCAGAAGACAGACAGTCAAGGTTCTCAAGACATAGTCTCAACTGCAAGACTGGACACTGCCGCCTTAAAAGTCAGGATGGGATACGTGAGCGATTCCGGGTCCCGACGATTTGTGACCTTTCTTAACCCATCACGAAATGTTGTTTAGACAACTCATGAATATTGAAGCCGGAAGTTGTTCTGGTCAGTAAGAGAATTTCACTTGCAACATGACTGCAGCTCGCACGTGATCCATCTTAGCTGAGAAGGTCCGTCTAGAGTCTGGAAGACTCCTCCGGCCGTGCGGATGTTCGGCCGGTGAGTCACCCGGTATGCTCCACAACCCGGTTCCGGACCAATCTGCACTCGAAACGGCAGGAGCGGCCAACCGTAAAGTGATTGGCGCGATAATCCTCCGCGACACTAAGCATTTGGGTCGTGCGTGAGCCTCACGCCTTACATAAAGCTCCAACATCAGCACGCGTTAAAAGCCCCGAGAGTCCTCAACAAGAAACTCCCAGGTTGCGTCTTGTTCGATCAGGGACTGTGCCGCGCTTATCTCGATGACACCAGAAACTTCAATGCACGTCCGGCCTGCGACCACGATAGACGCAGATGCCATCGCTGCCGTACATTATGCAGCCCTAGAGCAATTTCACGACTTCTATGGAGCTTTCTTCGAGCGTCATCCGAGGGAAATCCTCCCACTTTCAACGCGACTCGCTTTGAAGAATCCCAAAAACCACTTCCTGGTTGTTGTCGCATCCGACACAGATGCCGTCGTGGGTTTCATTAGATACCACGTCGTCGATGCGATGGAGCCGCCTGCTGCAACCACAGTGGAGAAGCCCACGGAAAGTGCGGATACCGAACCTACCGTGCCGTCCATTTTCGCAATTAAACCTCACATGAAAGATCTGTGGGAGCGCTTCGGCCACCCAAGGGAGGAAGAGATGGATGAATGTTACGAAAAGGCAGTAGATGGACGGAAACATAATTGTAGGCACTACGGAATGAGCACCGGCCAGGGCATGATCCGGCCGCCAACCTGTTGTTGACGAGAGTGACGAGAGTGCTGACATCGGTGCCAGATGTGAAGAACATAATGGTTGACCCTCATCATCAAAGAAAGGGCATTGGAGCAAAGTTGCTCCAGTCAGTCATCGACATCAGTGATGCTGAGAAGATTCCGACTTTCCTTGTTGCTTCGGCTGAAGGATATGGACTGTACAAGAAGTTGGGGTTCGAGGACCTTGGAACCTGGACCATCGATAACGACTACTGGTCCAAGGAGATTGCCCGACATGAGGACGAGCTTGGAATCATGGGCAATGAGGGCTTGGCGCAAACGTATCGGGGGAAACATGAGGTTGAGAAGTACATGATGAGATGGATCATTCAGAAGCAATGATCCGGTAGCCCTCTCCGCCACCTTCATAAGGTTGGAACGCGAACCAAGTACAGATTGGCGCTAATCTGAGTATCTGAGACTGGCAAGCGAATAATACTGTCTCGCCTAAAAATGTGATACAATTGGTAGTATGGTCCTGGCAATCTTTGCCCAGGATTGTGAAAGATGCACAGCCTTATCTACCACCGGGCTTTCCGTCGATGAGAAGGACTGTGTTCTGCTGATTTTTCACCTTTAAAGGTACTTAGTCTTGCCTCTAAATAAGCTTGCATTCCCTTCGCTAGGTGAGTTGTGCTGCTGGTATAGTTGTGGCTGTAGGCGGTCTACCTCTTCTGCTTGGTGCAGACATGGATGCTTGCGAGAACGACCTCTGAGCTCTAGATGGCAGGTGATGGCTTCCAGTATCGAGTAACAGCCTGTGACCCAAACCTAATCCGTCTCGCTATTTCCATCATTACGTTGGAGTCACTTGATGTCCCGTGAGTCGTGAAATAAACGAATACATGAAAGTGGTCCTTGCGGGCTTTCTAACTCAATGGCCGAACTGGACTTCCACACTCTGGCGATAGTAGGGTTAGTAAACCACGGCTCAAGAGGCTAAGGGTATAGTATCATGGTGTAATTAACAGAAAATACAGATCTGCGGAGCGATAATATGTCAGAATGAGGAGACCTTCGTAATCCAAATCCGAGTTGGAGCCGGTAGCGACGGCCTTTTGCAGGAATCCGAGACCGAAGCTTCCAAATCCACCATGAGTAGGGTATTCCACACGTTGCGACTCGTACGCAGCGATTTTCTCCCCTGTTTCACTTGTCGACACTTTCGTTGTGAATATAGGCACTGTAAATATATTATTACAACAATTACAGAGCCCGAACAACTTAACTTTATTCACTTAGATGAAGGGCCAGGCTTAGCGACACGGGTTCGCCCCGCGATCATTTCCACGATTCGACCTATTTCCAGGATTAGCCCTCTCGGTCGGGATGAACTCGCCGTCTTGCGGCCACACTTACTAAAAAGCAAAAGGCGGGGAAAGCACGCGCTGAAGACCTCTCACACGCCTAGGCTTAGCCAAACCATCGCAAAAACATGGGAGGCCCGTCGCTCTAGCCCCACCAGTGCGATTCATGCCTCCCGGAATACCCTACCGCCTTGACTAGAAGCGGTAGTGAGAAGAAGCTATCCGTACGGAGTACTCCGTACATCATTCAGTATGCTTCCCCCGTGAAACTAGGGACATGAGGCTCATAATTTATACTTTGCGATCCTCGTGATGACTTAAATTGCTACTCCTCTTGGCATTCCGAGGTCGCCTCGGGCTTTTCAGCTAACATCCAAGTACACATATTTAAGAGGATACTTACTCCCATTGAAGGGCCTCTTTCACTCCAGCCCACTATCAGAAACCATTGAATTACATCACGGTCATTATCGCAACCATGCAGTTCCTCAACGCAGTCCTCGTCTTTGCCTCGTTGGCAGTTGCTGCTCCCGCCGTGGATGTGGCCGCCGCCCCTATTGAGGCGAGAGCGGCTCCTAGCCCGTGCTACTCGAACCAGAAGTTGACCTGGAACACGGGCCAAATCCCCGGTAGCGGTGGATGGATTGTACGCAAGGCTTCCAGTCCCCTATAGGAGCTACCATGCGGGCCCTATACTAATGACTCCATTATTCCAGTGCTACGAAACCCCCTCAGGCCCTTGCACTAAGTACTCGTGGAAGACTGACCTTCCCTACTACAGCGTAAGAACACTTTCGCCTTTGTGACTTACCGTAACGGCCGCTAACTTTGGACGCTTCTTAGTGCACCTAAGCTGATTGCCCACTACCCTCTGTGGCGAAATGGGTGGTCAACCCGGGATCCCCTGATCGCATCTTGAGTTTGTAAATACTAGATACCAAATGGTGCTCAGATTCCACTCTAAGGTGTCACGCCGCGTTCAATATCCTGTACAAATATTTTCAGGGGAGCCACGATGGATGGCGTGGAGATGCCCTCCCCGTGTAGCGTTATATAAGCGATATATTCACCTATTATCCCACGGTGCAAACCTTCTCATCGACATGTTTAGCCATTACAAACACCTGAGAAGTACAAGAGCATTATCATAGGAGCTACTTTTTCGCTACCTTAGTTGTTGAGCATCGACGAGTACATGTATTGCTTCATTGCGTTGAGCCCCCTGAAACATCCTAGTAGCAAGCTTACGAACTGATCTTTGTCTGTTGCTAAGAAGATCCACAGCGCGCCGCAATCTTCGGGGGCAGTTGGATGTAGGAGGGTAACAAGTATCGCCGCATCGCACATCGCACGAGGCAGACTGCGCTGGATCAGGCCTGGGCACGATGACGGTACCGGAAGTCCTAGATAATGCTGTACAGACCGAGCACTTCTGTCGACTTCTAGGATAACTTTTAGAAAGTGAACTTCTCTTAGCTACCTACCATGGGACATCTGCGGACGATGCTTGTGTCGACTCCGTACATATCGGAGTTTTCTGGACAATCGCGCGACGTGGAAAGGATAAATTCCACTTGCATCTTGCTCCTAGAATGATGAAGCAATATCTCTGCTCATGTCGAACCTTCATCATGGCAACCCCACGAGGCAAATTTCCAGTCCCTAAAAGTGTCCAGCAAGAGATAAACTTGATACATGATACATAAAATAAAACGTTTAGCTCAATGCATAGTATTGGTAGAGACGACAGAAGAATATCAGGATTGTAAATAGCTGGGGGATGGCAAGATCTTCATTATGGCCGCCGCAATCCGACCCAACAGCCAAGAGATTTGTCCACCTTACTGTTGCAGACGCTAACGTACTTTAGATAGTGAAGATGGCGGATGTCTTTGTACGATGGCAGTAATTCGAAACAGGCCCGAGCAACCGAAGCAGCCAGTAAAGGTAGGCTAGAGTGCGGATAGCTCCGTCCCTATCCTCATTCTGGACACCTTGTCCGGGCTTGCCCCTCCAAGACTGGGCCCATGATCCGGATGTAAAGACTTTCGCCGTCGCTGCAACCCGGTAGTCAGTGATGACCACCATGGAGATAATCAAATCCGCGTTTCTCCTCAGATATCGATCCTGAGTCTACTGTACTGGATGGATAAAGATCAGGTGGCTGAGAGTCATTGCTATAAAATGAGCCTCCTACATGTCATGACTTTTAAAACCCACCACTTATCTTTCTTATAGCTAACTTTACACCGACCCCGAACTATCACAAAAGAATGGCACATGTGCTCCTTACCGGTGGCAGCGGCTTCATAGCTATGCACATAATCAAGGTGCTATTGGAGCAAGGGTAGGCTCTCTTCCAGGCACTCGCGCGATAGGTCAGCTCTCACTGACATACGACTAGCCACTCAGTAATCACAACTGTGCGAAGGCAGGCCAAGGCAGAAATAATCAGTCAATCATTCTCTGGATATTCGCCCGATAAGTTGGGCTTTGTCTTCGTCCCCGACGTTGGACAACTTGGGGGCTTTGACGAGGCCGTCCAGTCTGACCCCCCTTTCGACGCAGTCATACAAACTGCGAGCCCCGTGACATACGAAGTCAAAAACATCCAGGCAGACTTGATCAACCAACCTGTTAATGGGACCACCAATATTCTTCAAGCTATCAAGGCGGGGGCTCCGACAGTCAAGCGAGTGGTATGGACTAACTCTCTTTCAGGCAAGTTGCAATAGCGGCTGATTCGTCTTAGGTGATCACGGGGTCCTTTGTCTCTATGTTGGATATGTCAAAAGGTCTTCGGCCCGGTCATACGTACGACGAGACAGACTGGAACCCCATCACAGCCGAGGAGGCACTGGCGAACCCAGCTAGAGGCTACGCAGGTAAGCGATTTCCGACCTAGAGCCTACAGTGAGGACCCATTATACAGCCCGCACATCTGCCCCTAACGAGATGCCGCAGCAAGCAAAACATTTGCAGAGGAGGCGGCATGGAACTTTCAGAGTGAAGAGTTTCCGAGCTTCACGCTGTCCGTCATTTTGCCACCTCTTGTTTTCGGTCCGGTGCTGCAGCGTCTGAATAATTTGGACTCCCTTAGCGAGTCAAACCAGTTCATAGGAAGCTTTTTCAACGGATCGATGAACAACGAAATACCCGCTGCCGAGGTCTAGCTTCCCATATTACCCTAACTCACCAAGAAGTATGCTCATGTCTACTGATATCCCGTTTTTGCCGACGTCCGTGATATAGCTTTGGCCCACGTACGGGCCATGGAAGAGCCCGAGGCCGGGAACAAACGCTTCTTCGTCGCCAACGACCACTTTTCGAACCGTGATATCATCCGCATAATTCGCAAAAGATCTGCCAAATACCGTGTCAGTCTGCCATCGGAACATTTGCCAGGTGGTGGTAAGTGCTATGAGAACACAGGCTCCGTGATAATGACAACTACTGACAACAGCATAGAATTGCCAGAAGACGTGTTTTCTATCAACACCCAACGTTCGGTGAACATCTTAGGAATGGAATATAGGACTTTGGAGGACTGTATTGCCGACACTGTCGAATCTTTCGCGGCGGTAGAGTCGCGAGACACCTAGGCAAGGACTGAAGAGCACAAGCACACGTGGGGGAAACTGTACGAGCTCGACACAGGAAGCTGGGAGACCGGCCATTAACTTTCAGGGTTATGGTTCACTTGATGATTGGAATTTTAGATTACCAGTAATTATACTTCGAAAATTTGGGCCGCTATCATGTCTAAGCTTAATCAACCACAACGTTCAAGCTGTTTCCGACAACACCCAAACGTAGAAGGTGAAACAATATATTTCCATCGCTCATTCGAAAGGGAAACCCATGTTAAGCACAGGAAATCTCAACAACCCACGAAAGCCGTTCGACAAGGTACGTCATGGATTTGAATCAGTAGAAGGCACGCAGATCCCCAGTAAAGACCGTAGGTTATGCCAACGGCTTTGCTGATGATATAATACCGAACCCGAAAGTAAAGCAATCAGTTCCGAACTTAAGCTCACCGGCCGCTTCTGTCATATGCTCAGTCTATCAGATGATCCATGCATCATGTACTCTTTGACTGCAGCACACGCGAAGCGGATTCCTCCGAAGCCACTCTTCTAGAACTCAATCAAAAATGATGAAAACATCAACATCGCGTGATGTTTCAATCCGGGCAACGTGGATTGATTGCAGCGTCGCTCGTGCATTTCTTAAAAAGGGCCTCTGGCTGTTTTCTGCCTCCACGTTGCAAGCAATCCTGATTCATTCGTGTTCTCGGGCCGAACCGTGCAGATGGACATACACTCAAGTCGGGGGATTAAACGGGGATGAATTGCAAACACACATAGCGTCATGCACACATGGCTCGATTTACAGACCATTGAAAATCTTGCATAGTGTTCCTGTGATCCCATTCGCTCTTATCCAGATCATCTCGTGTGGCGAAACTTGAGCGCATGCGGCTATGTCTGTGAGCTATCAGTGGGCATCGTCCACCTATTCGGCTTCCTGCCGACTTTCAGGACACCAAAAGTTCAGAATTGTGATGATTTTAAAACTTAGTTAAGATTTCTATGGCTAGTACTTTACTTGAGTCGTCCCGAGAAGGCCTCTTAAAGGCATTTGTCCGGTACTATGAAGCTCGGGACATCCTCAGTCAGAACGATGGACAGACACACTTTCCCAATGAAAGAGGCAGCCTCCCTACAACCTGGCAACAAAGAAGTAACGTACGGGCTAGACGCAAATGTACAATTACCAACCCCAATGGTAATGCTTCCACCTCGGTCGATACTCTGCCCTTAGTCATCTAGATGCTAGGGTTTGGTTGACGGCCTGTAGGAACTGAGATAAAATCAAGATGTCGCGAAAAAGGGTTTCAAGTCCCTCAGTCGCAAGCTCTTTGATCATCAATTGAAATCCCCCAAAATGAAAGAGTCAAACCGTGCGGTCAAGTCGGGAAGCCTTCCCCGATGTCTTGGCTCAGGAGATGGCTTTAATGGTGGCTTGGACACCACGGCGCTCCCGAACATTTCGGAAGAGACCGTTGCCGCTGGAAAATCCCATTTAAATTTGCAAACTTTGATCTGAACACAACGTAAGCCAACTCATTTTCAACGGCGGCAGCACGCAAGGTACCGGTCGAGATTAATTAGCGGGAAGACTGTGCACGTCTTGACGGAAGTTGGTCTGCAAGATGGATTTAAGATGCATAGAACTATGCATGGAAGCTCATGTAGGGCGGCTCCAACGTGAGCTTACGACGTCACTCGGGCTCTCGCGGGGACATGTACATCAACTCATGATGGGGATCGAAAGCTCCCTGTGCGGCGTGCTCGTATTCGCCGAAGAATTGTTGCAATATTTCGGATAAGAGAAGCTTTTCACACCGCGCGGACGAGCGGCGAGCACACCTTTGATAGAAAACCGGTCTGTCAAGTGACTTTGAGACTGGACGAACGGCTTTTAGTTCCCAAATGTCTGTGGTCGTAGAACCCAGAGCCGTGGCCCCAGCGTCCACAGTCTCGCAAAGAGGTGGTGAACTGTCACGCTATGGGCTGCCTATGAACACTGGTCTTCGAGGAGAATTGCCCAGCTCAGCAACGGCCCTCACGGAGAAGCCGGGTCCAAGTGACCGTGAGCCTTGGAACTTTGTCGAGTTCGCGAACCATTACACGGAGGCTCCGTGGGGCGGCCGGTGCTCTCTGATTGAGTTCCTCAGCCAGTTGGACGGCCGACAACCTTTGAGAGGCGTGTTGAGACGACTGATTCTGTCGTCAGTGCCGTTGCTGTTCCCTTGTGGCCGCCACAAAGTCGTAATTTGTATGCTATCTCGTCGTGAAGTATCTTGGAAGGATTTCTATAAGATCTAGACGACCTTCCACCTCAAGTCGGTCCTTTTTCCTCATCATCCAACACACTTCACACTCCAGCCTCTCTTGAACAACCATCCTCAGCTTCTGACTTCGACTGCGAGATACTTCAAGATGAAGATCCTCAACGCCCTTCTCACGTTGTCGGCCCTGGCGGTCAGCATCGACGCCCTTCCAGTCTCGGTAACTAAAGACGAGGATGCCCAGACTTTCCAGTAAGTCTATCACTCCAGCACCCCTTCTGTATTCTTTTACTAACATTAAGCTAGTGACATGTCTCTGCATGAAACCAGCATCATAGCCCGCCAGGCCCAGCCTCCTCAGCCTCCTCCATCGGCCTTGATTCCCGACGCAACACCTGAAGACGACATGGATGAATTCGAAGAAGTGGAGGAAGTCGACGACGTCACGAATCCAGGAGAGGTCGAAGCCGAGGGCAAGAAAAAGAAGAAGAAGAAGAAGAAGGGCAAGAAGAAGGGCAAGAAGGAGAAGAAGCCCGAGAAGCCGGACGCCATCCCGGCTGATGGAGCTCAACCGCCGGCTGCTGGCGCTCAACCTGCGCCCGCAGCCGGTGCCCAGCCTATTCCCGCAGCCGGTGCCGCTCCGGCCGCTGCCCCGGCCAAGGCACCAGCTCCCGGAGCACCTGCAGCCGCTGCTCCCCCACCCGCCCCAGCGCCGGCGGCTCCTCGCTCGGTTGCCAAGGCATTCAAAGCCTAGTCGCATTTCGTTCTTGACAAGATTGAGTTAGTTGGAGTTTGGAGAACTGGTGCTAGACTGGAGAACATGGGTGCCGATAGTTGCTGGGTTCAACATTAGGGCTTTTTGGTAGAGGTGTCGGGCGGTTTTCTTCTCTAGTCATGTCATACTGTTTGATACAGGATTGTCGTTTAATAATTGTACAAAAGTTCCTTCTCTCAAAGCTCACCTTGCCAAAGGTACTTTAGTCAACTACCAGCGCCCATATAACTCTACTAAGGTAGTGTATGTGAACTTTGTAGTGGTACGATCATCTTAAGCGAATGGTCACCGAACATGTGAGGACTTCTCTCAAGGCTTTGAAACTCGAGGGCAAAGTTCTGCTTCGATAAAGACTTGTTGCAAATTTCAAACCTGGCTAGTGACAACAGGCCCAAAGTGCAAGTTATTTTCAAAGTTATTTTGTAGGAATCCGGAAATAACTGATTTACAATTGAACTAGTGCAGCTGTTTGATGATCGCGCTCAGTAAAATCAAAACTTGCCAAAGTCAAACGGTGTGTTGGCAATGTTGCTCTCCAGCTCTGAGATGACTCGTGTATAAGACGGAAATGCGGATAACACTTTTCCGCGTGGAACCAGTGGCTCTATCTCGTTGCATCAACCACCGAACGCTGACGTCCAAAACATGCCCAAAGATACTGAAATGGTGCCAAGATGTGGGCCATCTACGTAATCCCTCATTATGCCGCGGGGTTACCTCTTGCGGTCCAACCACTAACGACGGATCCAAGTGCCAAACCAGGCGCCTTTGGCCCGGCAGTCAGCAAAACACTGCGGATCAAGTTGAGAGCCTGCGTTCCGAGGAATAGCGGTAGCTTCAGTCTTTGTGCCTCATCGACCGCCTCCTGGAGGTCGCTTGATATTGTCTGAAGCAGACTTTCGTTGCCAGAGGCAGCCCAATCGTGTGTAGACCTACCGGCCGCGATGGCATCCACAATGCGCCGGCCCTCGCCGGAAAGCATTGTGCTACCGCCGGCAGCGTTAATGCAGAGCTCAAAGACCTGCTCCAAATGCAAACCAACAAAGCGTGCGAAAGCAATTGCCTCGGCTGCCGCGCAAAGATGAATGCCACGGAGAAGGTTGACGACGAGGCTTAGCTTGCCTTCTTCGGACGTGACGGTAGGCTTGACCGGTCCAACCTTTCCCGCTCCTTCGATGTATAGTCGAATGAGACTGGCATCGTCGTCCGGGCCGTAGCCTTTACCGAGGGCGGCGAAATAGGCCTGCTCCGCCGTAGAGGTCATCGGAGTGGGGAATCCGGCCCGACGCGCCTCTGAAGTAATGATGCTAGTGTCTTTGAGAATGATCGTGACCGCACTGGCAAGAGGTCCGAATTGAGCGTCCAGCATGCGTGGTAGCCGGTTCTCAAACATCCAGCTCCAACCCTCTGACTTGATGATCTTTTCGCCAGTACTTGAGAGATCCAAGCCAAGATGCGTTGCAAAGCCCAACGCTTCGCTCGACGAGAGGATTTGGTTGGCTGCGAGTACCTGATGGCACATCTTCATATTGCTTCCAGCGCCGATGCCGCCCTTGACGATATAAAGCTTCTCGGGATCCGACATAGCCTGCAATAGGTGAAGGCCCCTTCGGATAGCCTCCTCTTCTGCGCCTGCCATGATCGATAGAGTACCGGCCGCAGCTCTGGCAGCACCTCCGGACACCGGGCAATCCACCAGAGCAATGTCACCTCGATTTCTTGCAACCAGCTCTTGCTGAAGACCTTGCACGTAAGCGCATGGAACTGTCGAGCACAGCAGCACCACTGCTCCTTGTTGAAGGGCCGATAGGGCCGGAGCGTCACCTTCAAACAAGACGCCTTGCGCCTGTTCCGCTGTGGCAACCATGACAACACAGAACTCCTTGCCCGTGACAGCTTCGGCTGGACTTGTCGCTGTGAGGCCGCCTGCTGCCTTGAACTTGTTCAGAGTCGGTCCATAAACATCGAATCCTGTGACTGGATATCCAAGGCGGACAAGATTAGTCGCCATTCCAAACCCCATCGCCCCAAGACCAATGAAGGCCGTGGGCTGCTTGCTTGGGTCCATTGTGTCTTCGACGGAGGGTAATATGTTGCGTGTATGTGTTTTAGAATGTCTAAGAGTAGAGTCGAGACCAGTTCGAGGAGCCAAGGATGCTGATGGGGGTGCCGGATCTTGCAATCCGTGACCGGAGACGTGGCCCCCAAAGATTAAGTACTAGTAGGAAGAGCAGACAGATGAGTGACCACGAATGAAGGATGGCCTCGGATCCAGGTAACCCGTTGATTCGGTAGAGGTCGGTAGCTCGGGGTGACAACGGCCTTTTCCCGAACCGAGTACTGCTCCGATTTCACTCCGTAACCACGGCTCGCGCGGAAAATCGGCCCATTTCCGCCCCAATCCTAGAATCCCCCGCAATCCACATCACACATCGACAACAGTTGCGAATCTAGCTTCTCTGAGTGCTTCATCGTTGAAACTTCAACATAAAGCCGTTTCTCTACCCCCGTTATAGTGGTTGTCAACATCCTCAAGTACCTTGCCGAAGTTGAATTAAAGGACTCAACAAAGTTCGCCGATCCGACACCACTATTACCAATATAACTCACTGAACACTATCAAGCTACCCCGAGTCTCGCAAGTAACTCCAGTCTTCAAGATGGTTCGACCTCCTCTCGCCGAAAACCGAACGATGAAAATCGTGAATGCTGCAAATGAAGGCGGCTATGCAGTTGCGGGGTTCTGTTGCTACAACCTCGAAGCTGTGGTGGCATCCGTCAGAGCAGCAGAAGCGACCTCTTCGCCCGCAGTCGTGCAGCTCTTCCCGTGGGCAATGGAGTACGCAGGTAGTGCCCTTGTCAAAGCCGCAGCAGAACTCTGCCACAGTGCCTCAGTCCCTGTATCACTGCATCTCGATCACTGTCAGACACCAGAGCTGGTTCGCCGTGCTGCGGACATCCCCGACGGCTTTGACAGTATCATGGTCGACATGAGCCACTACGAGAAGGAAGAGAACCTCGCCCTTACTCGAGAGCTGGTTGATTACTGCCACCAACGCGGTATCGCGACGGAAGCAGAGCCTGGGCGAATCGAGGGCGGCGAAGACGGTGTGGCTGAGACGATAGATCTTGAAGGTGTTCTCACTACACCAGAGCAAGCTGAAGAGTTTGTTGCGACTGGGATTGAGATGCTGGCACCCGCTTTCGGCAATGTTCATGGCGAATATGGTCCGCGAGGGATCAAGCTGGAGTATGACCGGCTCGAAAATACCAACAAGGCTGTCGGAGATCGGGTTAGGCTCATCCTTCACGGGGCGGATCCATTTACGGAGGAGATTTACAATCGCTGCATCAAAGCTGGAGTGACAAAGATCAACATCAACAAGGGAATCAATAATCACTATGTTCCGACACAAGAAACAGCAAGAGGTCGCCCGATTACGGCGACGATTGAAGCTGGTACAAAGGAAATGCAGAAGGCGTGCGAAACTTACATGCATTGGTTTGGCTCAGCAGGAAAAGCATGAAGAAGTTATCGGACTACCTCCCTCAGAGGTATCAACATGATGTGTTCTCTCTCATCGTATTATGAGGGTAATGCCACTCTAAGGGCTTTATTCAACATGATAGTATTCAAACAACATATTTGCGACCAAAAGTAAGTCAAAATTTATTACAGTGACATGAGGTATCCATACAACCCATCATAACGAACTCAAACACGCAATCGACGTCTCCAATTTCTGCATCAAAACTGTTCCTCTTCGACATCATAAGCTAGAGGCTTCTGTCCGAAGCCCATCTTGTCGATACCTGTGGTCTTCGAGACCCACAATCCCCCCGAGATAGCCAACTCCATAGCTCGAAGACGCCAAGGTGCAGTTGACTTGCGCAAAGATCCATTCGACTCCGCCTTGTCCAGCATCGCCTCCGTCCTCACCTTTCGCTTCTTCTCATACACCTGCATCGCGTCTTCTAAGCTATCAGTGTTACTCTTCAACATCTTTGAGAACAAGAAGACGTCTTCTAAAGCCATGGAAACACCCTGGCTGGCGTGGGGCGGCATCGCATGCGCAGCGTCACCGAGAACCATGCAACGGCCCCTGGACCACGGTCTTCCCCGCGGCATCTTGTAGATCGGATAAAACTGGACAGCGTTCGTGTTGTTGATGATCTCGTGCACCATGCCCATCCAATCAGACTTTTGACTTCCCAAGAGATCGAGAAGGGTAGCCTTGAATGTGTCTGCCGCTTCCTTTCCGCGCTCCTCCCATCCGTCACGGACATTGCCAAAAGCCGGAAGAGCAACCTCGCGGGAGAAAAACCAGTAGAGCAGATAGCGGGTTGGTGTCGTGGGGGCAATCACGAAAAGTCCGTCAGAGGTGAGCGTCGCGCTCATGGTATCGATAGACGTGGCTCTGGGGCACACCTCGTCTGGTCGCACGAGAGCGAACATGTTTGCAAAGCCGGAGTACTCGGGCACGGAGCCGGGATCAATGTAGAGTTTCCGCACGGCGGAGTGGATCCCATCGCAGCCGAGGAGAAAGTCGGCCGTATCTGCCGTCCCGTCGACGAACCGCGCGGTCACGGTGTGGCCTTGGTCTTCGATTTTCTCCACGGCTTTGCCGTAATGTATTTGGATGTCTGCTTGCTTGGCGGCGCCTATCAGGACATCCATTAAGTCGGTTCGTTGGACGCGCAAGTATCCGAAGCCGGTTTGCTGCTCACTCCAGGATGATAGATCCATCTCACCCATAACGCAGCCTTTCAGAGCGTATAAGACGAGCTTCGGCGTCAATGCACCTCGAGCTGCAACGTCATTGTACAGTCCAAGGCGATCGAGTAGTCGTAGACCGTTGGAAGGAATGCCAATTGCTCCACCGAGTGTTGTTGGCTGGCGGCGGATCTCGTAGACTACCGGCGTGATTCCATTGGCCTTTTTCAGCTGGAGCGCAGCAAGTATGCCTGCTGGGCCACCACCGATGATGATGATCTATGCATGTTGTTGTCAGAAAATACTCCAACGGATCGGGCTGTAAAAACACGAAGATCATAAAGTAGTTACCTTTCTGATTTCCTTTACTGCAGTCATGTTGTTTATGGCTGGTAAGTTTGTGTTGCTTGGAATAGTTGCTTCTGACATTCGTTTGATGCGAGTGGTCAAGTTGCCTTTATCCCTTCCTTGGCACGCATGATGGTTCTTGTCGGCCTTTTCGCAACAAGTCCAACGCCTTCCGCAGATTCGTAAGTACACCAAGTCATGCAATTGTAGATCATATAAGGAAACTTAATGCCGAAACCCGGGAACCAAATTGCCCCCGTCCTGCCCTGTTGCCGTGTTGCACGGGACGAGTCTATATCATAGCTTCACGCCGTCGGGCTTTCGCCGATCCCAAAAACTCCGATTCGGATTCCTACCTTCGGCGTTCGGACGGCCGATGTCAAGCTTTCCCAGTCAAAATCAAGTGTATGTTATGAATCTCTTTCCCCTTGATATCTGACACTAAGCTGGCTTTTGAGGCATTGCTTCCGTGACTTCCATGTTAAGGCAAGTGATTTTTGGACCTTTTGGTGCAGTAAACCAGCTATTCTGGTGGTAAGTTGCTTGCCGAGGATATACAACCATGCACGTCTTCCGTCCCCGCCCAAAATGCCCAAGGGAAATTTCAAAAAATTAGAGTCAAATCAAATGCCTATCCCAACTTCGATGGTGCTAGTCATAGCCTGCGTCAATTGTCGTGGTCATCTGGTGATGTTAGGCATCCTGGACTAAGTCTGCCTGAGGTGGCATGGGCGTTGGATCGCAGGGGCAAGCGATGCTAAGACTTAGCTGTCCACTCACAGCGAAGGAAAGGCTGCAGCTTACAGTCCCCCCATCCCCGCCAGATGATTTCGTGCACGAAGCTGACACCTGCTGCATTTCCTACCTCTACATGAATCTGGCAGCCTAATTTTGCGCGAGTGAGACTCCCGTTTGGACCGTCAAGATGTCGGCCAACGATACGCAGTTTTTCAAACAATCCTTGAGGTCTGAGTACTGGATCAACTTCAATGTCGACAAGAGGTTCAGTCTTGCCGGAGTTGATGAACCCGAGCTCGATAGTAAGGACAAGGAACTGGTCCGGACATGGGCATCTACCAAGGGTGCAACCAAGACAGCCCCAGGCCAAACTCAATCTTCGTCCCTATACCGTCCCATACTCGATCCTTTCGAGATTCGCGTGCTCGAGATCTTGCCAGGCACCGGCGATGACAGATTACGTGGCCGCCTTCGTCACTGCTCACTCGAACTCGAGGCAAGGTTTGCTCTCGCTGTCGATGGATCCGCCACGCCGATAGTGTACACGGCGCTCAGCTACACATGGGGCCCGAACGTGTTCGATGAGGCAATCGAGTGCGAAGGTCACGTCAAGAATATCACAAAGTCTCTCGCGGTTGCTTTGAGAGCTTTCCGTCAAGAGGATCGCTCAGTTGTGATGTGGATAGACCAGATCTGTATCAACCAAGACGACAACGAAGAGAAGGCACAGCAGATACCCTTGATGTCGAGGATCTATCAGAATGCTATGAACACCGTCATTTGGTTGGGTGAATCAAGTTCGAATTCTGCTTCCGCCATCAAGTTGCTGGAAGACGTTAGGTTGCTCTTGCAGTTTACGGAGAAGACTATTGGGCCGGACGAATTCGAGGGGCTTAATCTCCCCTCAGAAAGTTCGGAGGTTTGGAAAGCCCTGTGGGACTTTCTTTCGCGCCCGTGGTTCACGCGACTTTGGATCATTCAGGAAGTCATCCTCTCCTTTGACTCTTGGGTCGTATGCGGCAATCATATGGCTACGTGGGACGTCTTGTCATTGGCCTGTCTACATCTCTGGACCTGTGGCATCTCGAGATGGCTAGGGGAGAAGTTCAATTCTGGGAGCCGCGCACTTGCCCATCAGAGGGATCTTTGTGAGTCGGTACAGCACCTCAGCAGCATGAAGTCAAGCTACCACAGTACGGCCATGCCGCTGTTCGATCTATTGATAGAGTCCAGAGAAGCCAAGTGTTACGACAATCGGGACAAGGTGTATGGTCTACTTGGTGTCTGTCAAGATCAGGACAGGTCTGCGATTAGACCAAGCTACGCAGACGAATTCCCCGTAACTCATCTCTATCGCGACATAACGATACGTCACCTGGATAACAACAAAGGCAGCTTGAGACTCGGCGTGGTCCTTACCTGCGTAGACCATGAGTCTATCGATCTGCCATCGTGGGTACCAGACTGGAGAAATCCCCGTCGAACACACTCATTGGGACACTCTACTACTACGACAACACCGTACATGGCATGCGGTCATCTTACGATCGAAATCGACAGAGTTCATCCACCTTTGGAACGTAAAAACAAGGACGAACTGCGACTGCATGGTGTTTCGGTTGACGCCATCGCAAAAGTCAGTACCGTATTTACGAATCCAGAGCTGAGTCTCGAAGATCCATTCACTGCCAACGGAGACTTGAAAGACATGTGCTCCTTTGTCGCAGAGCTACAAGAATATCCAGGCAACGAAACCGTCTTCTCCGCCTTCTGGCAGACACTAGTCGCCGGAAAAGATGCTACCGAAATGGCGAAGGCGCCGATAGCCTATGAGGAGATTATCTCCCTTCTCCTCGACGCATCCACGGGGCTGTCCCCATCGCTTCCAGGACAGACGTACTCTGCACGACAGAGTCGGCCGGCAGGCAAGGGGAAGCTAGAGCTAGCTAATCTCAAGACACGCACAGCAGGAAAAACGTTTCAGGATGTAAGGACCTCAATGATGCATGCTATGCGGAATCGCAGGCTGTGCTTCACTGCTAAGGGTTACTTGGGGCTAGTGTCGGAGACAAGCAAGGTGGGGGACGAAATTCACATTTTGGATGGGTGCCATATTCCCTACCTTCTGAGGAAAGTTGAGGGCAGGAGGCATCGACTAGTTGGAGAGTGTTACGTGCATGGGATTATGAGAGGAGAGGCTGTTCAGGATGGCCAGAGCATGGATGAGATAGTCTTGATGTGAAAAATCAATCATGATGTTGTCTGAGCTTCCTTCGTCACGATGATTGTGGACCCAGACTAGCTTATGCGCAGCAGCTGCTGCCAGGAATCTTATGCAGACAGTGGCAAGCTCGCAAGGATTGATTAAGCTTTGGTTGACCTCGATGGTTAAGCCCGGCTTGGTTGTTGTTTCTCCCGCTGAAACTCACAGCACCTTGCTCCTTCCCTTAGTATCTTTCCTGGTCATTCTGGTTCCTGACAATTGGTCTGTCCATCATTCCAGGGCAGGAGTGAAGCAAGAGGTAAGTTATCATCAGTTGGGCTTGGAAAGGGAAGAACGTAGTTGAAAAATAGTTCTCAAGTTGGAAAGAAGCCACACGTTGAACAGCGTTTGCTTACATCCTTGACTGCATGCGATTGCCAACCTCATTTCGTCAAACCACCTCCACCACTCCCAACATCTTTGGAACAGCTCTTTCAGCTATCCTAACGGCAAAATACAGACTCAATTTGAATCATCAAGTCGCGCAAAAAAACATCGTGTTTCAATATGGCTGAGTCAAGAGAGGTTTGAACATCCCCAACTTTCGAAGCTCGTAGTCGCAGATATCTTGGAAGAGGTGCTAACATGCCGGCAGGAACAGGAGAATCCCATTATACTCCCTTCGATCGAGTTCTCTCCGGCTGTTAAGGTTGAGAGCTCTCCTCACGTTGTTCCCCTGTCTTCCTCTCCCCACAATCCTCCGGCCGAGGCTTCTGCAATCGACAACGCGCCATCTGAGGCCTCTTCAGTCTTCGATCAATTGGCACAGGCTTCTTCAGTCATTGCGCCTCCGATTCATTTCCATCATCCCGGCATCCCCCCAGTCCGGGCTTTTGCTCCTCTGGACCAGAATCCTCCCCTCATAAACCCAGTGGACCGGACCCCTTCCGCTGCCAATCTCCGCCCCGTCATCGAAGCCCGGGCGTTGAATCCTCCTACCGTGTTACCGCCGCTTCCTACTCGTCGTGGCAACGCACCTCCAACTCAACCCGGCCCTTCTATTCCTCAGATAGCCGATCCGTCTCACGTGGGCAACCCCCCTCCCCCCAATCCCGGTCCAAGGGGCCGTTACAGCTTTCAAGGCCTGATGGACATCTGCCAGGGAATGGAGGCAGAGATCTTGTCAAATGCCCTTGGCAACACGGAGGCCAGAGGCGACGAAGGAAGCTTCAAGACGCCGTTGGAATACGCGGTCATTCGCCGAATCAAGACCACCATGATGGTGAATCGACATACCGCAGTCGCTGAAAAGACTCGTATTGAGGACGACTTCAGAAAACTTTCAGGCCAAGAACAGAGCAGGCCGATTATGAAGATGAGTGGGTCGCTCAATGACATGATGAGGGGCTTTGACCGTTAGATACAGGGCATCGATGCTCTTATTGCAAAGATTGATGCATGGTTGGAGGAGTATGACAGAGATTATGGTGCTGCTCCGGCGGGATCCAATAGTGCCCCTGGGCGGCCTGGCCCTGGGCCATCTGCCCCAGCTGCCTGAGTATGAGAGAGATTCATCAGACACGGTTCACGTTACAGGATGGAGTTTGGCTTGAGCGATAGCATGACTTGTTGGGGATAGAGGTAAGAACAACGTCCACAGAGACGCAGTAGGCTTCAAGAAGTTCGTAGTTGGGTATTAGGACATAACAAATCAAATTTGTTTGACTCCGTTCAACAGCCGCCGCGATTCTTCGCAACATCTGTCCCTTGAGGAATGACCATAGTAATGGAAGGAAATGCTCCTACCAACACGTATTCTCTTTGGGGGGGATCAAAGCAAGGCGGAAGCTGTTAGTCAGCGGGGCCGCCTCTGTCAGGCCTCGCCAGTTAAACCCCGTCGGTTAAGGGATAGCTTAAGGGATATAAAGAGGGGGACTAAATAATAAAAGAATAGCTTAGGTATATATAGAGCGCTAATAATACGCCTTAAGGGAAGGGTAGATTTTAATAATTTATTTTTTAAACCCTAATAATAATTAATTTTTATAAGCTTTTTTTTTATATTATATACTTATTAATAATTTAAAATTTTTATTTATAAAAAGGACTAGGCTAGGAGCTTAAAATATTAATAAAAACGAGATATAATAAAAGAGCGTAGTTAGTATTATAATAATAAAAAAAAGATAACTCGTTTTTATTAAACCCCTTAAAATTACCTCTTTTTTAATAAATAATATAAAAACGGAGCATAATAAAACGAACTACGTAATAATAATATAAAAAAACTATATTACTAAAAGTATTAACGAATTTTAAATAAAATAGCGAACTTCTTACCCTTATTTATTAATACCTAAACCGAATAATAAGTAATAAACTAATAAAACTATAAAAATAAGAATAATAATTAAAAAAAGAAATCTTTATAATAACGTATAAAGAGTAACTATATAAAAAATAAGTAAATTTAAAACGCTTATAAAGCTTTTTAAATAGCCCGGCCCCCGTACTAAGAACTACGGTTTTAACTATAATAACTTCGGATATTAATTTTAATATAAATAAAAACGTAAACCCCCGGACTAAGGATAGCTTAATAAATAAAGCTATATTTAAAGCGCTACTTAAATAATAATAAAATAATAAGTTCGTACTACCTAAGCCTCTATTTATTAACTCCTTTTTAACTTAAATAAGTACTATAAATAGAACGTTTACGTTTAAACTATTATCCTTCTCTAATTTATTATATATTAATAAATTAGTACGGGATTTATAAAGCTTTTTATTTAATTACTACTATTATTTTAACTTATAAATTTAATAAATAAGAATAGACCGTAATAAAATAATATATATAGTTAGCTACTTAAGTAGTAGTATAAAAACCTCTTAAATATACTATATCTTTAACTATAAAAGGGTCCTTAAGTTTATAATAAACTAAGTTATATAAAAAGAACTAACAACTTTTTTATAAAATAACCTATTTAATCTTACTAACTAAGGGATAATAGTAAATATATACTTAAATAGCGCTTTATAAAACTAAAAAGAGAGGGTTAATAAGTTCGTTAGTTATATTAATAAGCTTAAAATAGAATTAAAATATATTTTAATAAAAAAATAAAAGATCTCTATATTAATAAGTAAGTTACGGCCCGAACTATGCCTCGTAATAATATTATAAATAGAACTTCTATAAACTTATTTATAATTAGTATTATTAAAAAAACGTATTAAGTAATCCTTGCTATTAATAAAGAGCTTATAAACGTCCCCTAAGTAATATTCTAACTTAAACTTAAATAAATTAGTAGAGAAATATAGGGGCGCTAATAAGCTAACTACGTAAAAAATACGCTATAACTTACTTAATAAGAATATTATATACTATAATTATAAAAAAACTAGTTATATTATAAAGGATTACTTATAACCGCGGGAGTAGTATTAGTAATACTATAATTACGGTAAAACTGGGCACTTTATTAATAACTACCTTAGTATTATATATTATAAATATAATTAAAAAGGGTATAAAACTACTAATTATTAATTAGACCTCGTTTTAACTAAGTAGCGCGGATTAATAACAAACTTAAATACTATTTTAATAAAAAGGGTAGTTAATAATTAATAAGGGTAGTGCTTAGATATCCTAACCTATATATACTTAAACTACGTATAAAAAAAGCTAAGCGCCCTTATTAATTTAAAAATAAAAAGGAACGTAGTTAATATCGGGCTACTTAATAACTTTAATACTAATTTACGAATTTACTTATTATTATAGCTAATAAACGTTAAAAATAAATAAATAGAGATACTAAGGAGCTACTACTTATAGCTTCGAATTACTAATAATAATAACGTAATAAAGATATAGCTATATCGCTTTATAATAACTAATATTATAATACCTATACTTATCCTTAGTTTTCTTTAGTTAAAAGATATTAACCCGTTAATTAGTTAAAAATAAAAGAAGTAATAATATCTAATTTATAAATAATATATCTACTTAAATACCCTAAAAAAGGGGCTACTAAATAACTTAGTTTTAATAATACTCGCGTATATTATAATTAACTTAGCTATAAATAGCGACGTAGTACTAACGAGCGTAGCTAAGGATTAGAAACTATAATATTAGGATTTTAATAATTTATTTTTAAAAAAGAAGGCTATTTTATTATTAAATAGAGTACTATATAATTACTATATTAAACTAAACGACGCTATGCCTATTTTATAGGGACCTATTTACTTATTATTAAATTATAAGCTCGAGATCTTACGAGACTATTTAATAAAAATAAAAGCTAGGGGCTAAATACGCCCTTTTATAAGCCCGGCTAAAGTACTTATCTTTTTTATATTTAAAAAAAGAGGAGAGCTACGACTTTGCGTTAATTATAAAGTAATTAATAAAATTATATAAAAAAATAGGACGCTACTACTACTAATTAGAGAGATACTAAATAGACTATTTAATACCTCCGTTTTTATAAAGCTAGACTTTAAAAACGCGTATTATTATATACGTATAGCTAAGGGTAATAAGTAAAAAACGGCTTTTTATACTAAATATAAGTAGTTAGAGTACTTAGTTATACTTTTTAAACTAACTAACGCGCTTATAACTTTTTAAGTATATATTAATAACGTTCTAAGCGGCCTAGTTAATACCGTTTATATTATATACTTAGATAATATCCTAATATATAATAATAACTACGTAGTATATAAAAAGTATATACGTAGTATACTATAAAAACTATAGTAATAGAACCTATATTTAAATAGTAATAAATACGAGTTTTATATATTACGTATAGGATTTTTAAAGTATATTATATTTAATAAAGGTATAGAAATAGAACCCGCGCATACTAAAGCTATAATAAATTAGCTATTTTTAAAAAATATTAAAAATATATAAACGTTCCTTAGATTTACGGGGTTTTATTATAAATTTATTAATAACTATACTAAAATAACTATACCCCTAATAAACTTACTAAGGAAAGTAAAGCTAAGATAGTTAGAGCTATTAATACCCGCTATAAAATTATTTAAGAAGCTATTAATAATATTTACTAATGCGCTAATACTACGATATTTTAACCTTACCCTATTTATATAGTTATAAATAAACGCTTTAGCTCGAGCTATTAACTTAGTAATTACGTAATTAGTTAAGGGTAATTAATACCTAATTACTTATAAATTAAAGAAATTAATAAATATAGAGAGCTATTATAGTATAAAAAATATAGAGCTACTAACTATTATAAACATACTAAAAAACTAATAATACTACCTCGCTTATAACTAAGATTAGGTTATAGTATTTATAAACTATTTTAACTTATAATTCTTAAATATTAAAAAAAGGCTAAATAGGAAATAGCTATGCTAACTAAATAAACTCATAACGTTTAATATTAAAATTAAGTTTAAACTAAGTATTAAAAACTTAGTAAATAAACTATTATAAAGACCCGACTATAATAAAAGTAGTAATAATAACGGAGTAAAGGAGCTATTATTAAAAATAAAAAAAGACTTATATAATACTAAAAATATATAAGAGCCCCTTAAAATTATAATAATAAAGTATATAAAAACGAGCTACGAGAGCAACTCTTAAATAAAAAGGATAGTAAATATTCTAAAAATAAAATTAATAATAATATAAAAAAATAAGTAAAAAAAGTTAAGAGCTCTAGCTCGAGAGAGCTCTAAAGAGTACTTTAAAAAGTATAACGAGGCTACGAGCTTAAAGTATTAAAGTTATAGTATAATATTTAAAGAGCTACTTAAGCTTATTACTAAAACTATAAATTATAAGTTACTTATTTTATAAGACTTTAATATAATAAGAGTACTTAAAATAATATTTAGTAAAGAGGGGTTATTAATAATAAGTTAACTACGGGCTACTTAATAAAAGGACGTTTTTATAAAAAATAAAAAATAAACTAAAAAGAACTAATAGCCTCGCTTAGCTAAGAAAAAGTAGTAATAGAACTAAGTATATAACTTAAAAAAGCTATTATATTATAATAGCTATACCTACGTATTATTATATAAGGGGCTAAAAAAAGAGGTTATTAAAATATATTATAATACGTTTATAGCGGGATATTATAATATAAAGTAGATAATAGTACTACTAAAACGTTACTATTATTAAAATAAAATAAATAAGGATATAAAAAGTTATATTAATACTTATATAATATACTAGCGAACGAAGCCTCGTTATTATAAGCTATATAATTTATTACGCCCCCTACTTACCCTAGTTAAGCTATAATAAGAAATATTACTAAACTTTATTACGAGCTTATTTATATTAATTACGCTAATTAAGAAGTGCCCCTATAACGTAGTACTTATTATAATAAA